GCCACGCCTCCTATGCGCCACGCCCACCCGCCATGGCGGCCTCCCCGGCCCCGCCCCTCCGTCAAGCCCCGCCCACCAACGCGGCCCCGCCCCGCCTGACTCGCGGATCCACTGGCGATTCCTGACCACGGCTCGGCCCTGCCCGTCACGTCCCGGTCCCGCCCACGCTTCCTCCCGGCTGCGCGCGGGGCCCCCGGCAGACCCGGAAGCGGATCGCGGAGTGAAGGTCACAGCTTGCCTCGTGAGTTCCCTTGCTCTATGATCTCTGCGCTTCACGGTCCCCTGCGCGCCCGTGGCCGGGACGCGGGGCCCAGCAGACCTCTGCGTCCCCGCACCGCGCCCTCCACCCCGAGTCAGTCCCATCTCTGCGGGAGAACCGGGTCGGCCTGAAGCCCGGCGCGGGTCCCACAGGTGTCCAGCCCCGCCGCGTGGACGCTCCGCTTGGCGCCGCTCCCTCCCGCCGACGGTGGCCTTCCCAGCTCGCGGGTCCTCGGCGCTGCCCACCCAGCCCGCCCTGCGCGCTTCTCCGCAGATCCTCCTGGCCACTGAGGTCTACAGCCCAGCCTGTGCCAAGCCGGGCCTGTCCTCCCCTGACCAGACCCTGCCAGTCCTTCTCACCGGGCCCTGTCCTCACCTGACTCTGTCCCCTTCCCCAGGCCCTGCCCTCACCCAGCCCTATCTTCCTGGCCCTGTCCTCCTCCCCCGAACCTGTCCTCCTTAGCCAGATGACTCCCCTGCAGGTCTTCCCTCCATAGTTACCCTGCACTCTGGAGGAGGCGACCTGGGCCTGTGTGGTGACTTCCAGGATTCTCATACCCCAGATTCCCAGGGAATATGTGCTCCTTTGGAGGTGGGCAGAGGGCTCAGAAGAAAGAGATGGACCAGAAATGAGAGCAAAGGGACCCTTAACACAGATGGCAAGGGATTGCAGAGAGAGGGCATAAGAGTGAAAGAAGAAGCCATAAAGCAGCAGAGAGAAGAAATCTAGAATCACAATCTCCACAGAGGTGAAGGACAGCCACTCAGGGAAAAATAAAACCTGGAGGGACCTCTGGCAGAGCCTGGGAGGAGAGAACAGATAATCTGCATGGCAGAGGGGAACTGTGGTACTGGGACAAGAAGAGGGGTAACCTGACAAGGGGAGCCCAGGGAGGAGCACTTCAGGAAGGGATGTGGGTGTTCAGAGCATGGGGACAGGGGCCTGCAGCAGGCAGGCCAGAGGGAGAGAGTGGATGGGGAAGAAAGAGGCAGACATCTGTGGAGATTGGGGACAAAGACTGGGCAGAAAGACTGACTGGAGGTGAAGGGAGTTGCAGGAATGGGGAAGATCAGATGGAGGGAAGGAATAGAGGGAAGAAGGCGAGAAACCAGGAGAGGAGAGGGAAGCAAAGTACGCAGGACCCAGGATGGGGGAAGAAATGAGAGTGGAGGTGAGAATGGAGATGATGAGAGGGAGGGAGGGAAGCAGCAATGAAGATGGGGACCCGGGTGCAGATGGTGACTTGATTAGATGGGCATGGTGAAGCTGAAGTGTAATGATTTCTATGTTTATAATTCAACAAATTAAAATTTGTGCTTAAATTATGTCTTTACATGAGGATAACAATTGCAAAACTGTCTGGATTTGTCTATTTTAAAACTATTGGTACAAATTACTTCCATATTCAGCCAGAAGGCAGGGTCATGACCCATTCAGTTTGGGGTCGTCTCTTCTGTTTTCCTGGGATAGTGTAGTGTGGGTGAGTGTGAGATAACGAAGAAAAACCAGAATTCCTACTCGGGACAACAGGAGGCTCTCAAGGTCAAGGCCCCGACGACAATGTAGGCAGACTGTCTGAAAATTTATAAAAGGGTTGCGGGTTGGGGGTAGCTCAGTGGTAGAGCACACGTCAATTCAATTCCCAGTACCATAAAATATGTGGGGATTTCTTCCCATTCATAAGCAGTTCTCCTTAAGACAACAACTTAGTGTTCTATAATTTAACTGAGATCTGGCTTTCACTGCCTGGAGATAGGATCAGATGCCACCATTTGAAGGTTCAGTATAGAAGCACTGCCCCCCAGTTTAGATGCCAGTCGCGTGATCAGGTTGGAACTTGGACTTTAGTCAACTGGATATACATCCTGGATTCCCATGACCCCTGCTAAGCTTCTATTACTTTTCTAGTTCAACACCCAGTGTGCAGGGAACACTTGATAAAGTTTATCCACTTGTTATAAGGGATACAGATGAACAGCCAGATAGGCTCCGTGTAGTCTTCAACGTTTTTCAGGTAGGGTGGCCTTGTACTTCCTGGGGCTTAGGTGAACATCTCTGCCTATATCTACAATATAGAAGATACTACAGTGTGTTTTAAGTTATAAAATAAAGAATAAACTGTTTGTTTACCTAAGACAGGTGAGGAAATGGATTTTAAACTTCATTTAGGTGTGGAGTAGAAATGTCAGACCTCAGTCCTACCTGCTCTGCTTCCCCAGGGCCTCTGCCCTCATCTCCTGCTGTGTCCTCTGCTTGCTCACTTTCAGCCACATGGCCTCTTTCCTTTCCCTGGCTGGAAGTTGCTCCAGCCTCAGGGCCTTCACTGGGTCCTGTCCCTCTACCTAGCCCTCTACCTGGCCCCTGGGCTGCAGGTGGCCAACACCTCAGGTCTTTGTTCTGACATCACTTGCTCCATGGAGACTCCTGTGACCCCCAGCTCCAGTCACACTCCAGCCACACCCTGCCCCACCTCTGGTCCATGCAGCCTGTGCTGCCTGTGTTTTCCTGCTCCTTTAGCATCCATTGTCTGGATCCTGGTGAGAACAAGGCTCCAAGAGGGGCAGAGCCAGAAGGTGGGTGGTGGGCTGGGCCTGCCCCTCCAGGAGGTGCTCAATGCTGGCTTCCCATGGGTGCTGAGGCATTTTGCAAGCAGTCTGTCCACCTACTGGACATCCCATTGATGGGGTGAGGCTGGTACACAGCCTTAATAAGTAAGGTTGATTCTCTACTGTGTGCAGCATTGAGTACTCAGTCCTTTTATTATTTATTTATTTGTTTATTATGGTGCTGGGGATTGAACATAGGGGCACTTAACCACTTAGGCACATCACATCCCCAGCCCTTTTTATTTTGATACAGGTTCTTGCTAAATTGTTTAGGGCCTCACTATGTTGCTGAATCCTCCTTCCTTAGCCTCCCAAGTCACTGGGATTACAGGCATTCACCACCACATCCAGAGCTGTTTACCTGGCTCTGTGTCCTCCATCCTGAGGGCTGAGATCAGCCTGAGATCCCAGGAGAGGTGAGGGGTGCTATGCTGTGGTTCAGTTTGGTGAGAGCCAGGCTGTGCCCTGAAGGAGCCTAGTGCTGCCCAGCTCCCCACTGCTGCAATCTGTGTGTGGCCTTCACTAGGAGGGAGACCAGGCCCAAAGAAAGGAGTGAGATGTCTCCTCTGGGCCTTCTTCCAGGGGTGTATTGTGCCTGGGTCAGCCTGGAAGGGTGGGCAGCCAGGGACCGTCTTCTCACATGCAGGGGTCCACCTGTGTGTGTGGCTGTAGCACAGGAACGGTGTGATGATTCTGAGCCCTAAACAGTCCGTTTCCTCCTTCCAGGATTGACTTGTAAAGACTCGTGTTACCTGAGGAGACAGCCCTGAAGAGAAGGAGGAAAGGAAAGGAGTCAGGAATGGCTGTCACTGAGGTACAGTGATCTCTCAGGTGGTCCCGAGTCCCCTGTGCAGTGCTGGGCCTGGGAGCTGCTGGCCTCACGTGACTCTGCAGCCTCCTGCCTGTCAGGTGTGCCTGCATCCCCTGGGCCTCCCTTCCCCATCCTCTGCGCTTAGATTCCATCCCACTGAGACCTGGTGGCAGGGAACCCATGAGGAGGCACCACTGTTGTATTCCTGGGAAGGATTTCAAGCCTGGCAGGGTTGAGGGCCTGTGAGGGCTTGTGTGTCAGTCCTGTTGGGCAGCAGGGATCATTAGGGCATAGCTGGATACACTGTCAGCTGCCTCTCGATGTGGGTGAAAAAAGCTGCACTTTGAAATCACATATTAATGCACACAGATGCTTTTAAATGCCAGAAAAGGAGAACTATAAAGGGAAATATGCACTGCTTAATATATCGCTTTTATAGATAATGCAGTGAGACAGTGTTTTGGATTCCAAAATCTCAGTGACTGGGAATAGAAAGATAGTGAGACAGTGATCAAAGATGTTCTACAGTGTCCCCCTTGGAACTGTGGATTGAACAAAGGGGTACTGAACCTCTGAGCTATATTCCCAGTGCTCTCCATACAGGGTCTCACTAGGCTACCCACAGTGGCCTCAAAATTGCAATCCTCCTTCCTCAGCATCCCAAGTAGCTGGGATCACCAACGTGTACCACTGTGCCTGGTGAAGCTTTCTTTTTTCTTTTTCTTTTTTTTTTTTTTTTGTACCAGGGATTGAACTCGGGGAACTCAAATCACTGAACCACATTCCCCAGCCCTTTTTTTACTTGGAGACAGTGTCTTACTAAATTCCTTAGGGCCTTGTTAAGTTGCTAAGAATGGCTTTGAACTTGCCATCCTCCCATCTCAGCCTGAGAGCTGCTGGGATTATAGGTGTGTGCCACTATACCTGTCTTATCTCTCAATCTTATTTATTTCTTCAGTCATTTGTTTGTGGGGTCAGACCCAGGGCCTTGTGCCTGCCAGACAAGCACTTTTAAAACTAACCTACATCCCAGGCTCCCTGATTCAGCTTAAAGTTGCTGATCGTATATATCAGAAGAGGTTCATGTGCAGTTTCTGGATCCCCCCCTCTGTTATCTTTTTATTTTCAGATTTGTGTTGGTTCTCCTCTACACAATATAATTAGGTGTTTTCACTCTTGACAGCGTCCTTTGTTGTACAACAGTGTTTCAGCTGTAAGTCATTACATTTGCCAGTACTTTTGATGCTGTATCCAAGAAATCATAGCTAACTTTACTGTCCTGTGGTTCCCTCTGTGCCTGGTCCTTGAGTGTTTGTGCCAGGAGAGGTGTTGGCTCTGAGGTGTTTTCAGAATCTGTGGACCTGGTCCCGTGCGTTTTGTCCTCTCTGTCAGTGTCATGTGTTGTGCAGTTGACCTTATTAGTTGCTCCACCCTTGTTCCTAGAAATGAATCTCACCTGTCACAGTGTCTAATCCTTTCAGTGTCCTATACATTTAGATTTGCCAGTTTTTTGTTGAGGAATTTTTCATCAGTATTCATTGGAGTTGTTGATCTGTGGTGTTTTTTTCCTTCTCTTTGCCTGAGTTTGACATCAGAATAATGGTGGTCGCATAGAACAATGATTTTTTTTTCGCTTGTTTTTAGTTCCCCCTTTTGCCTTTGATTCATTGACTGATTAAGCAAATGTTATTTAGCTGGGCACAGTGGTGCATGCTGGTATTCCCAATGACACAGGAGGCTGAGGAAGGAGGATGATTTGTGGGTGATTTGTGAGATTCTATCTCAAAAAGAAAAAGGAAAAAAAAAAAAGGTTGGGGAGGTAGCTCAGTGGTAGAATACCCCTGGGACATCCACATAAGAAGTTTTTTTTTTTTTTGAGAGAGAGAGAATTTTTAATATTTATTTTTTAGCTCTTGGCGGACACAACATCTTTGTTGGTATGTGGTGCTGAGGATCGAACCCGGGCCGCACGCATGCCAGGCGAGCGCGCTACCGCTTGAGCCACATCCCCAGCCCCAAGAAGTTATTTAATTTGCATTTATATTTGTGGATTTTCATTTTTCTTGTGCTACTAATTTCTGCATTTATTCTAGATAGAGAAGAAAATTTGAATGGTTGCAAGATGCAAGATGATACTTTTTGCTTGGAGATTGAACCCAGGACCCTGCTCATGTCACCCTGTATCTTGAAGCTTATTGGCTGTATATATCTGTATCTCAGATATCTTGGAAATAGTTGGCCATCATTGTTGTCACATAGGTTCTCCACCTCTCTCTCTCCTCCTCTTCTGGAGTACATATGGGGGTATCCTGTGAGTCCCTTGGGACCTCTCCTTTTTTAATTTTTGAAATGGGGTCTTGCTAAGTTGTTGAGGCTGGCCTCAAGCTTTCTAATCCTCCTGCCTTAGCCTCCCAAGCAGCTGGGCTTATAGGTGTATGCCTTCACACTCTGCCCTTCTTCATTGTCATTCTTTCTTGCTCTGCTTTTCCCTATAGGTTGGTTGGTTGGTTGGTTTTGGTACCAGGGATTGAATCCAAGAGCGCTTAACCCCCGAGTCACATGCCTAACTCTTTCTTTTTATTTTATTTTGAGACAAGGTCTCACTAAGTTGCTTATGGCCTCACCAAGTTGCTGAGACTGACTTTGAACCCAGCTTCATAGTTTCTGTTAATATTCTCATTTTATCCATTTATTGGTTTTCTGATTTTGTGTTTCTGCTTTTATTTCGTTGGAGCACTGTTATAACTCTCAGAATTAATTCTTTGGTCGTTTACATATCTCCAATTTTTTAGTGTCTGTTTGTGGCTATTTAATTTTCTGCTTATGGGGGCCATGTTTTCTTTCTGTTTGTGTAGCTGGTGGTCTTGTGTCTGGCTTCCTTGAGGGAAGTGGTCTGTGCTAGAGGCGGGGGATCTGTCATCTCTGAGCTTTTGTTGCAGTCTTGTAGGAGAAGCTTTGCAGTTTCTACCCAGGGCTCTCCTGTTGCCTCCTGCTGTTCTGTGCCCTCTCTGGTGTCTCAGTCAGCCATCCTCTGGATTTCCACCTTGTCTCCACCAGGGACACTCTAGACATGGTTAATGGGGACTCTCTGTCTTCGTGCCTTTCCCTACCTGATGCCTGTCTCTATTGCTTAGGTTCCTGGAAGGTAGAACACAGTCTTTCAGGCAGTTCCCCCCAAAGTTATGTTAGGTGGATGCTTCCCTGCCCCAGGAGAAATTGAGAGGGTCAAGGCTTCAGTAGGCAGGGACCACAAACTGTCTGTCTGGCCCTGCAGTGAGAATCCCAGCCTCTTACGTGGTTCACCACTGAATCCATGTGGCTTTTAGATCCTTGTTGGTCTATGTCACCATGAGGGAGATCCTGGAAGTCTTGTTTTTTTTTTTTAAATTCTTTTTAGATACACATGACAGTAGAGTGTATATTTTGACATATCATGCAGATATGGAGTGTAACTTCCCTTTCTTGTGGTTGTACTTGATGTGGAGTTTTACACTGGTCACGTATTCATATATGAACATAGGAAAGTGATGTCCGATTCATTCTACTGTCTTTCCCATTCTCATCCCACCTCCTTTCCCTTTGTCTAATCCAGTGAACTACTATTTTTCCCTCCCTCTCATTGTGTGTAAGCATCTGCATATTAGAACATTTGCTTTGGGGGATTAGCTTATTTTACTTAGCATGATAGCCTCTAGGTCCATCTGTTTACTGGCAAATGCCATAATTTCCTTCTTCTTTATGACTGGTATATTCATATATACCACAGCTTATTTATCCATTCACTGTTGAAGGGCACCTAGGTTGGTACCATAGCTTGGCTATTGTGACTTGAGCTGCTATAAACATTAACACGGCCATGTCACTGTAGTATGCTCACTTTAAGTCCTTTGGGTAAATCTTTTAATTTGGTGCTCTGGTATCTTTGCCGAAGGAGGTGCAGGATGTTTTGTATGTGCACATGTGTGTTAATAAGGGCTACTAAGGAAGGAAGTCTGTTTTCCACTGTTACCAGCTCCTGCAGTACAGTATTTCTGTGTTGCAGTCATGTCATCTGTTCTAACAGATCCAGATCTCTGCTATCTTCTTTACCTCTCTTGTTTCCACCTTTTTCCTCTTTATGGCCCATGCTCATGCAGCCTGCCTGATAGTGACGAGACAAAGCCCTGGCTGCTAGTCCATCGCTTCTCTGCCTTTATTTGGAGGAAATGCTGATTGTGCTGTGGGGTAAATTGTTCCTGCTTAATGTCACTTTTTTCTTCACATTTACTTTTTGTCCTGATTGTTAAAGATCCATTGATTTCTGAAAGTATGTTTTGCGGTGATACATTTTCTTATTTTACTTAAATTGATATGTAACAGTAGCGTTTCCTAATTGTTATGTCACAATTTTACTAGTCAGGCATAAAATTCTATTGATAATTGCCTAAATATCTAATTTTAAATTGATGAAGTTGTTTTCTTAGTTTTGAATGTGAGTGACTCATAGAGATTAGAGTTCAAATTTCTTTCTTTTTCTTGTTTTTTGTTTGTTACATGTTCTCCCCTATTTGGAGGGGGCAGTACTACGGATTGAGCCCCAAGCCTTGCCCATGCTAAGCAAGCACTCTTATCACTGACTACACCCCCAACCTGTGTAGTCCTGTCTTAATGGCTTAATGGACAGTGTTTGTAAACAAAACTCAGGATGATATATATATTTTTATTGTCCCAAACATGCCAACATGCATGTGAGAACAGTGGTGATGAAAAGTATTGGGACAATTATCACTGAGAGACAAGTCCTGTTATTTCATTTGATTTAAATGTGTGTGTATATATATATATATGAATGCTTGTCTTGCATACATGGATGTGCAAGTGTATGCTGTTTATCAAAGACAGCTGTATGTTTTTACCTGATTTATCGTATTTTCTGTGGTCTTGCATTCTCTGACCCCTCTCGTGTTCACAAGTTGACACTGGTAGGAATGGGAGTCTTATGTGGCTACATGTGCATGCATGCAGAAGTTCACATTGCTCTGCTTGAACTTGCTTCTACGTCCCTCACTTCCCGTACTGTTTATTCTCTTCTGATGCTCTGTACTTAACTATTTAATTCTTCAGGTTTAGTTCCAGTTCTTAGATATTTGGGTCAGGTATTCGTTCTTCCATGCTCAGCTCTTTGATTTGAGCAGAGTTTCTTCAGTGTCTGTGACACAGTTGTTTCCTCAGGAAGATGGGAATGAATCTTTCTTAGGTCGCCATAGGTGTAACTTCACGGAAGGCGTGTTGAACACCCTGTGTGTAGCTGGGATGTGGCTCGGTGATTGAGTGCCGCCCAGTATGCTCAAGGCCCTGGTTCACACACACCCAGCACCACCCACACCCACATACACACACACACACACACACACACACAAGTCATAACAGCCAGCATTTAGAAGCTTCAGGCACTGCTGTTGCTGTTTTCACAGTTTTAGATTCTGACTTTTGGAAGCCCCTGTGGACTATCGTCTCTGAAGACAGGGCTCATGCCATAGCTCACCTAGGTGTTGAGTGCACATCACATGGTGTGGCAGATGTCATAACTAATGCTTCCATGGAGGTCAGCCTGAGTTGGGCTTTTGCTTTGTGTGGGTACTGGGGATCTGTCACAGGGCCTCGTCCACACTAGGCAGGAACTCTGCCACTGAGCCACATCCCGGCCATGTTCTGGCTTTTTATTTATGTGCTTCTTACATTATCCACAAAAATGAGAAATCCACACTGATATACAGTATTCCCTCAGTTTTCAGAAAGAGGCAACGAATGGGTGGATTTGTGAAAAGTTTTTTGGGCTCCCTCTATAACATCCTCTCTCATGTACTCATAGGACTAGGATTCTGGAAAAGCCACAACAGATGGGATTCCTTTCTTTTTATAAACAAGGATCTTCCTTCCTGACCTTGGTGTTACAGGGTATATATACAGGGTATACATACAGGGTATAACCTCTTGTGGAAAAATAAACTGGAACAGAATTAGGGAGACATAATGTTGCTCAAATGTACTTTAATATGTGCGGGGATATAGTAAAAGCAAATTTAAATTTCTCCTACTGTACACCCACCACCCAGAAAGCTTCTGTGACTCCACATGTGTGGGGTTTCCCCACACAACCAGCAAGAAATTCTGCAACAGAAACCAGCTCTGTGTCCTCTGATTCAGTTGAATTCTGACGAGTAGCCTCAGATCCCTCAGGGGGCGGGCCCAGTCCCTCAGGCCCAGTCCCTCAGATGCCTGTGGTTCTGAGTGACAGGTTTGCAGGACTCCCTCCTCAGGTTTGGTTAATTTCCTGGAGCGGCTCACAGCACTGAGTGATACGCTTACTTACCCTGCCACGTACTATCAAGGATGCAGATGAAGAGCTGAACGGAGGGTGCATAAGGCAAGGTGTGGGAGAAGGCACATGGAGCTTCCGTCCCCTCGCTGGGAGATCTCTCCTCTGGGGACCTTCTCATGTTCAGCTAGCCGGAAGGTTCTTCAAATCCTGTCCTTTGGGGGTTTTATGGAGGCATCATTACCAGGCATGATTGGTGATATCATTGGCCATTGGTGCGCCACTGAACCTTCAGCCCCTGTCCCCTCATGAGTGGTCTGGGAGTAAGGCTGGAAGTTCTAATCCACAAATCCTGCCTGGATCTTTCCAGTGACCAGTCCCAGTCCTGAAGTGTCTAGGGGTTTGTAGCCTCCCTTATCACTTCAGATATCCCAAGTAATTGTGCATCTGCAAATATAGAGGTCAAGTATGTTTTTCATAGCATCCCAGCTTGGGTCTGGTATGCTCACTCCAGGAAATTTCTTACAGTTCTCTTCTCATCCCATTTTATGTGGAGATGATAACTATCTGCATGTCTTCTTGATGAAACGTATTTTTCATTTTAGGGACAGTTGGCATTCAGGGATGTGGCCATTGAATTCTCCCAGGAGGAGTGGAAGTGCCTGGACCCCACACAGAGGGCTTTGTACAGGGACGTGATGCTGGAGAACTACAGGAACCTGGTCTCCCTGGGTGAGCGTGATCCCTCCTGAGGTTGGATCTGTCTTGTGTACCTTTGCATTTTTCCTTCACTTGCCTCGGGGGAGCTTCTTATTACTTGAGTAAAGTTGAAGCTCTGTTGACCCAGAAATGAAAATCTTCCTAATGCAGAGATGGTTAAACTTTAACCATCTCTCCTCCTCCTCTTCCTCACCACTAGGAATTGGACCCAGGAGCATTTGGCCACTGAGCTATAACCCTATCTTTTTGACTTTTTATTTTGAGACAGCGTCTTACTATGTTGCTGAGGCTGACCTCATACTTAAAATTCTCTGCTTCAGCCTCCCCAGTTACTGGGATGACAGGTATGCACCACCATGGCCAGCTATTTTCTATGACTCTTAACCTATCTTTTTATTTTTTACAGTGCTGGGGATCAAACACACAGCCTTGCACATACTAGGCAAGCACTCTACCACTTTGCCACAGAGCTACAGCCCAACCTTCCCCCCTCCCTCCCTCCCTCCCCCCGACTCTCGTACTAGGGATTGAACTTAGGGGTGTTGTACCACTTAGCTAGATGGTAGTGGTTTTTACTTTTTTGAGACAGGGCCTTGCTAAGTTGCTGAGGCTGTCCTGCCTCAGCCTCCCAATTAGGCACACGTGCACCATTGTGCTGGTCCTTTCTCCTTCATTTCTGTAGATGTTTTGCCTACATAATATGATACATTATTGGGTGGTTACACAGCTCAGGTATGCACAGATGGCAGACTTTTTCTTTTTTTTTATGGTAGTGCTGGGGATGAAACCCTTGGCCTCTCACATGCTTAGCCAGCACTCTGCCACTGACCAATAGCCCAGGCCCTATGGAAGATTTAGCTCTGCTTGCTTCCTTCCACCCACCTGGTACTGGGAATCAAGTCCAGAGCTCTGCACATGCTAGGTCTGCCACTAAGCTACATTCCTAGACACTTTTTTAAGTTTTATTTTGAGACAGGGTCTCACAAAGTTGCCTAGGGTGGCCTCAAACTTGTGATCCTCCTGCCTCAGCCTCTTGAGTAGCTGCAAATAAGCAGTCATTGTGCTGCTTTGCTTTTGATTTATTAGTTTTTGGAAGAGCTAGAGGTCTTATATTAAAGTATTCCCCCAGTTGTCAGAAGGAGGCAACGAGTGGATGGATTTGTGAAATGTTTTTCGGGCTCCCTCTATAACATCCTTTCTCATGTACTCATAGGACTAGGATTCTGGAGAAGCCACAACAGATGGGATTCCTTTCTTTTTATAAACAGGGATCTTCCTTCCTGACCTTGGTGTTATTTCCATGTTGGAAGAAGGGAAAGAGCCCTGGACCTTGAAGAATGAAGTGAAAATAGCAAGAAATCCCGGTGGGTGGGGCTGTGTCAAAGGTGTGAACCCAGGTAAGAGCTCACATGTGCACAGTAGAAGCTTTATCGCCCATTGTTGTCTGAGAAACTCCACGGGTGAAAGATTTCTGTGGGAAAACAAAAGTTTCTATGCTGTGAGCTCTTACAGGAAATTTTCAAACTTCTCCCACTTACAGTTCTATTCTTCAGAGATATAAAAGTTTATCTTTTCACCCACTCAAGGTGTATGTATTATTAATCAAGTTTTTGTTTAATTACTGGGGATTGAACTCAGGGCCTCACATATGGTAGGCAAATGCACTAATACCGAACTACTTTTCTAGGTATTTAAAATTTTTTTTTTCTGAGGCACAGTCTCACTAAATTGCCCAGGCTGGCCTTGAACTTGATATCCTTCTGCCTCAGCCTCCTGAGTCATTGGGATTACAGACCCTCACTCGAATCTGGGGTAAATTTTATGGTTATTCTTAAGTTTTAAAAGTCTGCTTAATACAAATATTACTTTTGCAATAATAGCATCTTTTTCAATATGAATATTTCTTTTGTTAATGAGAAACACGTAACTTTATATCTTGTAGATTTCTCTCCTAAACACACAATTAAAAAATCACCTTCAAAAAGAAACAGCAGTATAGAAGAGAGATTCCAGAAAGCCATGCTGGGAAGGCATGAGCAACACGACGCTGAAGCCTTTTCCTTCAGAGACATCCAGAGAAAGGCACATGGCTTCCAGTTTCCGTGGAGAGATAGTAAAGGAGATTGTAAGGGAGTGCCCATGATCCATAAAGGAAGCCACATGGGTGGAAGAGACGGTGGTGGTGGACAGGATGCAGGGAGCAAGCTTGAGAGTGATTGGCTTGGGCTGGGCTTTCTGCCAGGCCTATCTGCACCCCAGCTGCTTCAGTCTGCAGGGAAAAGTGAGTGTGGTGAAGAGGAGAAGTCTGTGCACAGTGGTTCTTCAGCTTTACCACCTCAAAGCGTTCCTTCCAGTGTCAGAACGCTGGAAGGATACGGGAATGACTTTATTTATTCTTCATTGCTCATTCCCAGGCACAAAGCACACATTAGGGACAAGCCTTACAGATGCCACGAGTGTGGCAAGGTCTTTAGTTACACCTCCTCTCTCGCACATCATCGCAGAATCCACACTGGAGAGAAATTGTACAAGTGTGCTGAGTGTGGCAAGGCTTTCTTCAGGCGCTCCTATCTTTTGGTGCACGAGAGACATCACACGGGAGCAAAACCTTACAAGTGCAATGAGTGTGGTAAGGTCTTCACTCAGAACTCACACCTAACAAGTCATCGCAGAACTCACACCGGAGAGAAGCCGTACAAGTGTGCTGAGTGCGGCAAGGCCTTCAGCGTGCGCTCCAATCTAACCAACCATCAGGTGATCCACACTGGAGAGAAGCCATACAAGTGCAACGAGTGTGGCAAGGTCTTCAGCCAGACCTCGAGCCTCGCGATTCACCGGAGAACTCACACAGGGGAGAAACCATACCGGTGTAACGAGTGTGGCAAGGTCTTCAGCTCTCACTCAAACCTCAACACCCACCAGGTCATCCACACTGGAGAAAAGCCCTACAAGTGTTCTGAGTGTGGCAAGGTCTTCACCCAGAACTCACACCTGGCCAATCACTGGAGGACTCACACGGGGGAGAAGCCGTACAAGTGTACAGAGTGTGGCAAGGCCTTCAGCGTGTACTCAAGCCTGACTACTCACCAGGC